TGCGAAGTTGAAATCGTTCGTGATTGATTTCCCCATGCTTGTTACGTAAGCTCTTTGCTGATTGCGTATCCGCGTTTCATTGTCGTGTGGTTTTTATCATTATTCGCGTGCAAAAATTTATAGTTAACAAAATCTTCAGTCTCTATTTCTCCTGGGTTCCTTCGTCTAGTTCGAAATGACACTGGTCTACTTTGGATTTGGAGCCGTTGTTTTGATTAATTTAACGTTCGAATTGCCGTTACGATTGTTACGTACGGCTGATGGAATGTAGTCCTAGTCGCAAGTCTCATGCATATCGTATTGCTTCACCATATTCTGCCTCACGTGACCACTAACTGATCATCTTATAAATCGGTCCACAGTGCGGCGCACTGATAAGTATTGCCCACATACAGCCACACATTCAACATAAGATTGTTTCGTGAATGATTCACTAGGAGGCTCAATGCTTAACTTAATCTATGAGATGAACTTTGCGTACTCGAAACCTCTTTCCTATCCTATTGGGAGAAAAATAATAAACTCTTGACTTTGTCTAATTCATGTTTGCACAAAATAGAGGCATTGAGAATCAAATGACAGGGAACCGTATTCTTGTATTTCCTGTAATGACAATTGTCGGGAGCAGAAAACCAGACAGCCAAAGTGCCGGCCTGGGTTACAAAGTGATAGAAGCAAACCGTTGTGGTGTCGGGATTCGAATATACGATATCTAGGTCAGTGTGATATTAATCTACCCAACTATGTTAGGACAATTTTATGTTTTCTAATAGCGCGATACTTTTTTTTCTCCATTCCCTTTTTCAATCTGTGCCGTAAAATTTTTAATAACCTTGTTTTCCGATATATCCGATCATGATAGGGATCACCAAAAGAATCTCATTATCTTTTCTGGGGCTGTTGATCAAGTTCATCGAACTTAAGAGTGTCTGCGCGTCAGATCTAGCAAAAGCCAGTGTTTAATGCTGAACTTTCCGTCGTGCTTACCGCCGTGATAAACATGATGTCTCTCATGGCTTTAACAGCTACCCCACTAAAAAGGTGTGTATTGCGAAGAGCTTTGTAGTAATTCATCAGCACTCCTTTCTTTTCAGCATTTTGCGATAGCGAGTTCTCGAGCGAATTCTGGTCATTTCGCCTGAGTTCCCAGTTGTGGTGTGTGAACCGGCTTTGGTATTTACTCGCTTTCTGTGGAAATTACTACGGAATCATAGGAAAACTTTTACTGGCACGTCGGCAATCGGTGGGGTCTGAGGTGCACCACATATCACCGGTCTGCAATGCAACTCGTATCTGCCAATAAATGAATCAAACAGGGTTTTGGTTTTTCAGCAAATATAATTTGCATATCACAGTTAGTTTACAGCACACTACCAGACTTCCGGCCTAGGTTCAAAATCGAACCTGGCAATTACCTCTCACTCAAGATGTCCTTATCTCTGACCCATCGATGTCGTTGGTTCCCGCAGTTCAACAACAAGGTTCTTGTAACGGAATTAATCGTGTTTTACTCTGCTTTTTTCTGTTTCCATTGGAAGATTTTCCTCCGTTGAGACTGAAATTTATCAATTGATATTCTCAATCTATATGTTTTGTCGTGAAGTTCCATGTTGACATTCCATCGGAGTGTTGGGGATTTGGTATTTCAACTCCTTCGTTTGATTGTGAATCAAACGATAAGGGGGGGGGGGGGCGAACACGTTGGACTTAGTTCTTCAGACAACCCGGCGAATAATGCGCATCGTGGTCGCTGAACAAAGGAGCTAAACGGTCGACAGGCCCTCGTGATCATTTAATGATGTTCACGACAAAATCTCCGGGCGGTTGCAGAGTATGCGCTGACTACAGTGATGATTAATTGTTGAAGACGGGACTGGCATAGTGACCGTTCATTTACGGTCAGTGCTTAAGCGAGACCGGTCAGTCGAAAAGACTGGTCCTTATGAACATATTCATTGCGAAAGCGCATCGATGCTAGTCTTTCGTACTGTGCTGTAATTATGACTAACTTAAGCGTTGCTACCTACACTTCAGTCAAAGGTGTACATAGTACACAAAAACTAAGTTCCAAAAGCCGTTCTGCGAAAATATGCTCTTTGTAAACTAGAAAATGTGCTTAAAGGGGGGTACC